GTCAATGAAGTTGATGTAGAGTGATGAATTTCATTCAATTGATTGTTCCACAATGATCCGTAGTGTTGCGATTTGGTCTGTACACGACCGATCCTTACGGAATCCTGCCTGTTGGTCTCGAAGTTGGGCGTCTACGCAGTCCTTCATTCTGTTTAACAATACCCCATTGAATGCTTTTCCTGGTATTGAGAGAAGAGTGATGCCCCTGTAGTTATCACATTTGCAATCTTCCTCTTATTTATTACCACCTTTGACCTAACCACTGCTATGAATCCGGTGTTCATCTTGTTGTGCTGATGCGGTATGGCAACCTGGACCGATGCACATATGTGCCTGGTCCTACGTTGTAGCTGACTGACTGACTGACTATCACATTTGCTGAGATCGCCTTTCTTTGGTATTTTGATCAGATGTCATTCTTTCTATACTGTTGGTACTTGTTCCTCATCCCAAATCTTGCTGAGGAGAATGTGGAGTATCCTTGCAGTTACTGCTACGTATGCTTTCAGTGCCTCTGCTGGAATGTTGTCTGGTCCTACTGCTTTGCCTGACGGCCATACTGATTTCTTCAATTGTTGGTGGCCAACATCGATTGGGAGGTCCGTGGGTGCTACGCTCCGACCACCAGGCTTCTCGGTCCTTACGCAAGCTTTACCCGATTTCATTATGTAACATCCTTCGTTTGTGGCCCAACACATGGTTACCCGGAGTAGACCGATGGGCTTCGATGAGTTGTAAGGAGCCTGAAGAAACCCAGTGCTTATAAGCGGGACGTTTCGCGAACCTGCAAACGGCTTTACTCTCCATTTTCATGGCGTCATGCAATTGCAACCAATGCTCATCTATACTTTTCGGTGGAGTGGTAGCTAGCCTAGAAGCTAGTTCGGTTCGATACTTACTTGCAACAGAAGTTGCAACCAGCTTGCTAATATCAATCCGTTGATGGCGGTCACTTCGTTGTCCACTGAAAAGTAAGGCAAGATTGGCGCAGACCAAGGCATGGTCAGGGCATTCGGGGGCTTCTCGACGATTGACTGCAGCCTATTGTAGAATTGATCTTTAGTGTCTTCATTATAGTCGTTGGTAGGTGCATAGGATCGGGTGACGTTCATTGTAATGCCCTCTTTCTTTGTTGAAGGAGGCTTTGATGATCCCTGGTCCATGAGAGAGATTCCCACCCTAGAAGTGTATTTTGTGCTTGTTTATACAGCATCAATACATGTGTATGTGGGGCATTTTCTTCATCATGGCCGGAGTATAACAGAAGCTCTCCTAAAGCTAGTCGTTGTTGTCCAACTTGCGTCCAATGTATTTCACTAATCCCAAGCACCTCTAGGTTGTATCTCCTCATTTCTGCAGCAATTTGGAAGACCCTCCCGTTGTACGAGCATTCCACGTACCTAAATGAATGGTCGCTCTGGTTGTCAGAAGGGGCATCGGCCTCGTGACTTCCGAAGGAACTCGGTTTTCACCATGAGGCGTCATAACTCTTCTAAATAAAGACCTGACTCCCAGGGTAGATTTTAAAAGGTTCGAATAATTTTTTCTGGTTGGCGTTTTTTCTACGGGATAGGGTCGCTGATCCCATGCCCAACTCTTTTATCCGGGCTCGGGACCGGCAGTAGCCCCTAGAGGGGCTACAGGCGTAGTTAATCTGTGGTCGTTATTGTTCTTTTTTTCTTATACACACCTTACTTAATTTTTCTCTTTCCATTTTCATTGGTTTGTGTGGTGCATACATATCTAGTGCACCTTGTGCCAATATTCATGTGTTCAAATAAAGTGAAATAGCCTGAAGACCAATCAACTTCATCAAAAAATACCAGCCTAATGGCTCGGTGTTGAGATCTTGGATAGAAGCATTCCTAAAAACGCCAGAAAAGTTTTAGAAGCTTGGCACTTAGGTCAATCAGCAATCAACAAACACATTGTAATCGATCCAATTTATCAACCAGTCAGGAAAATTATTGACAAATACAGGACTAAAGTTCAAACCAATGGGAGGTACAATCAAAATGAAGAAGTAAACCATGACAGGTTTAATGTCAACATTAACCAATCAACACCGAGTTCTACAGGACAAGCTGTGAGCTATATGTGCAGAGATTCGAATACTTTACTCCTACTTGAAGTTTGTGCTGATGATGTTCAGAAGAACGATTAAAGCTCCATGACCAAACCATCCAGCTCAGAGAACAAAATCCCATCAAAGTTATAGAAACTGATTAGAAAGTTGTTAACAAGCGTTCTTTTGGCAGACTCATCATTCATAATTGTCATTTTTTCGCTCTTAGTAATTTTACTCTGAAATATATTTTGCTTTCTGCTGTTTGATATCGATTGTCACTATAGTATACCATATAATTTACAGTAATATTGCCTTTTGTTGATGTAGTAAGGTAAATTTCTAGCTAAAAAAACTTTCTTTTCGTATCGATCGTGGTATTACTTGCTAGCTGAACTGATGTTACTTTGTTTCAAAACCTTCGTAGGTGTTCTGTTATTCTGGTGCCAGTGATACCGTAAACGCTAATTCTCTATCTTACTAAGTGCAAAATTTAATCAAGATTACGAGCTTTTGGAATTTGTACTGTAAAATTAGAGACGTAGTAGATAATTTGATAATGTGGTATAAGAGTTTCAGAACTCACTTTGGTTTGATACATACACCTTTAAAATTATATATATAGTAAACTACTAAAGTATAAATCGTTGCTAAGTTATATGCACAAGTCATTTCAGTATCATCTTGTATGGCTATTTGATTATTCCATAATCTTGTTTCGTAAATATATTGTCTTCATTCCCTATTTTATACAGAATACTTTAATGTTTGGCATGTGGGATGATATTCTTGGTCAAGGAGTTTTTATTGACCCTCAGTTACAAGTAACATGGGCGTATGTGACAAATCATGCACATGCTCGATCTCTTAACAAGGATTTTATTTTAAATTCTTTGGTTAATTCTGTTTACTCTTGCATCAAGGAATAGTCTCAGGTCTCTTAGCATTCATTGAAAAAAGACTGGTACAATAAGTCATTCAATATTATGAGATACCTTAAAAAGATATAAGCCAAATTAGTGTCTTTGAAATTCATTTGAAGAATCTATATATTTTTTAAAAATTGATCACGTTTTATATGATCTATTAAAGTTAATTGTTGCATTTAAACTTGATAAATAAAAAAATACCTTTTTATTTTTCGCCTAATGTCTTCTCAATTCTGCCGAATAGTATTAAACTTATTATACTTCCTACATGTTGGTAATATCCGTGATAGTTTAATGTTAATGTATTGTCTTTTATTCATTCACTAGCTATTCTCTCGGTTTCATGATAAAATTACACTCGAAGCAAAAACGGTATTCATCTAAATTTGTAGGTTCAGTAAACTTAATATTTATTATTCACTTCTGTCTAGATGTGGGATTGTTGTGCTAATCAGATCCATTCACTCAAAATGTACTTTACCTGTTAGGACTAAACGAGGGATAATAAGAAATAATTATTATCACTATTCTAGGATTATGAAAGAAATAACAAACTGAATACTGATGGACAAAATGATCGCTGGTAAATGCTTCAAAGCACCCAAATGCCCTGGTGAGGCCGAGAGTAGGGGGGAAGGCCCACCTTACCTCTCGAAATGCTCACATGGTCACGCGTATATAGCCTCTTCCAGGGAAGTCCTACTCACTGCCTTCTCGTGGCGGGGGTGTTGTTTACGAACTCGCGAGGACGAAAAGCGAATGTCCGACGCTCTAACCGGGTTGGAGAGTCCACCTAGGGGAGTTGGGAAACCCTGATTCTAAACCAATGGTGCACATGGGCTCCAATATCCTGAAGGTACAAGCGGCGTATGAACCAATTGTTGGTCACCGGCTACCATGGGAGTGCATCTCCTCACGATGTCCCACTGCTTTGTGGATCAGACCTTTAGATCGAAGGCTCCGAGTGTGGCCCCTTAGGGAAACCACCTGCTTCGGTTTGGGCAGTATCACAGCCCCCACACAGATCAAATGGGATTTGTGCGGCGCATATCTATTCGGTGCATCCGTGTACCAATGTTTATGTGTTTAAATAAACAAGTAAAATAAAACAGTTACCAATCTTGTTTTTCCCTGCTAAGCTTCTTTCACAGACTATTACGTGGGACTATTTCCCATAAACTTTAACTAAAATTTCTGGTATCTTAATTCTTACTTCTGAGCTTCGCTCAGCTAGTCCATCGCCATCCTCTCCTAGAACATTCATATATCTAACTTATAAATGAGCGAATGCTCGAACAGTGTCAGTTCTTTCCTAATATCTCTTAAAATTATTTTATCTCCACATATTAACTCAATTTATTATAGATATTTCCAGTGTAAATTATGTAAACTTGTTTCGTTTTAATGATTAATACCATGGTTTTAGGTTGTAAGCAGATTAGGAGAATCCACGAAATAAATGAACTCATGTTATTCTGCTGTGACATTCGTTCTTTTCATTCGATGAATTCATTTTGTTTTTAAACCACATTTCCGATGCTTCCCCATTGTCATTAGTACTGCTGCTATTACTTTAACTCTGGGTATCTATTCAGTTACGTTTCGCTCGTTCTGCCGACGTGGTATAATACCGTGAACTGAAGAACATTTAAGCCAGACTGTTGACTATAACTGTTCCGTTATAATGACTGAGGTAAACACTTTACTCCTCGTTTATTCGAACGAGAAGTGAAGCATCGCATGTTATTCTGGAGAATACAGTTCTTTTCCGTAGAAATATTTATGGTCATATCTCTTGAATAAACTAATTGATGTAGTAGGTACAAAATGAGGCCTTTCATAAACAATAATACATTTTAAAAAAGAACCAACATCACGAATTAAGAAGTTTAACTGTAAGAAACACAAAATCTGGACAAAATTTACTTATACTAGTTTGTAGTATGGCATTATAAGTTTCAGTCAGTCAGTAACAACGTAGAACTTCGTACGTACGTACGTACATTAGTTCGAGTTGCCACACCACATTATAAGTTTGGTTTTGAATATAGATGATGTTGTGTAACTCTCGGTTTATTTGACAGCATTTTACATAATTCATAATTCCGTCCATTAAAATATTGATCACAATCACTAAAAGTACCAAGAAAACTTTGTTGTGATTCTAAATTCCGACTTGCTAGGAATCTCGATCTATTCACCTGATGATGTTCAGTACTCCTGCTAGTAGTTGTACTAATATTGGATATTGAATTACGATCGACTAATTCTGTAGAATCGATTAATTGAACAGATGTGAGATATTTTAACATTGAAAAAATGACGTCTGGACTGCAACCCAGTGAAATCAAGCTATATACTCTTCTAATAGAAAAAGATATGAAAAGTTGAATGTTATCAAAATAATAATTTGAAATAACTATACATAAAAACCACTTTTTAGTATACGACCCAGTAATCAGATACACTGTTCTGACAGGTAGTTGATACATGCAATAGTAGTATCAAGGACTAAATTTGGGAAATACAGTTCAAAAATAACGAATAAAATTTAAAAATGATGAAATACTAGGATTTAACATTTAAAGGAATATAATGAGTAGATCTATTCAGGCCACTCCCAACAATTGTGAATGTCATACTTGGGGTCTTTAACTACAAAATACAGTTAATTTGATGACAATAACTCGGGGGCTTACACTTTCAAACACGAATTAGAGTCGCAGTCAATGACGACATGAAATGATACGAAGTCATTGTCTGAAAACCTTTGAGTCTCCCAACTTACAGGTTTATTTGCTATGTTTTATAAACCCATTGCACTGAATGCATACCCGTAAGTTTTTTAGTTTACAACTGGGAACAGAAGGAATAGATTACCAAGTCATCCATTTACGTAAGCATACTTTATCTAGTTATTTCTTTAATATTGATAAATGCAACCGGAAATTTAGTTATTCATATACCTTAAACCTAGAAATAGTGACCTTACTAGATCGTCAGATCACAGTTAATTAAACAGAGCCATGTGCACAAGTGAAATAATGATGAAATATTCGGGTTTTATTTCAAAGAATGAATGCTTTATTGTGACTTATTTTGAACCCTACCATTCATAGCGCCTAACCACAAGAAGCTTGCTTTCCTTTAAATGACACAATGGATTGGTCTTTTTACTTCCAACCGTTTCCTAAGTATATCTCACACTAGGTAACGTCAATTGACGTGATGGGATGACTGGTTACACATGACAAACATAATAAGGTGTTTCAATTTCACTAAAATTAATCGCCCAGTAGCCAGGTACCAGATTGTCAGTTTGGTTTTCACTCATAATTTATGTGAGGGGTAGGCTTACTATATAGATACTCAAACTGAAGCAGGCAAGATGACATTTAAACTCGCAATCCGTTAGCCAAAGATTAACTTTGTCGACAACAAAACTACCGCTTTAGATAATCTTGAGGAATGACCTACTTTATTCCATAGGACTATCTGTTGACCATTGTCACTTCTTGTCGACGATCCTATCACTTCCAAGTAATGTTTCAAAGACACTAATTGCCAAGTGTATGCGATTTTTTAAGTTTTGGAAAATTGGATTTCTAGGCCAATTTTTTAGCCAAAAATGTATTAGACTTGCAGAACTAACCTACTAAGCATGATATATGCATGAGTCAAACTTTAGATTCTTAAGACAATGAAAAAAAAGCTGTTTGACGAAACCGATAAAGTCACTTCAAGAAAAATGTTAATTAAAACGTTGCATCATACCTAAAAACTTTGTTATCCATAGGAACTCCTGCTTTGATCGCAAGCTCATATAGAGCAACATCATTTGGGACGGTCATTTGAAGTATATTGAGATCTTTGCAGTAAAACAGTAATAAAGAACTCAAGATTCATTAAATAACAAATGCACTGGAGTATAAGAGTATAAACTGCCCGACAATATTTAATACGAAATACTTTTTACTATAGAACGAGTTATAAGATAGAGCCGAATTATGAGTAATAAGTAGTAGAAACTATAATCTGGTTGCCTTTGATTCCTTGGACAGGACTATTCCTCGGACCTAACTGTTGAAGGGCGTGCCCGAGAAGTTCATGAACATCCCGAAAGCTCTGTACACAAACACCACGTGTAGAGCGTGGGCACAAAATCACTGCTCTCTACTGTCCCATTTAAGAGCTGTCCAATCTTACAACTTCTCTCTTACTTTACCGTTGATGAGATTTTAGAAAAAGCCCTGGTGAAAGCAGATAGTGGTAGTGAAAATTTGTTACCTGGAGAGATAGTTTTCGATCATGAGTATATGAACAGTATTGCCGCACCGTGTGACGACATACGTGCTATACGGATAGTACCGAACAGGTTGGCGACCACCGTCCGTAGGTACGGTATGCAATTTCACAAGAATGGCAGGAACTTTTGCCCACACTCTCTTGGGAGCGTCGCTAGAAGCAGTCATAAAATTCGTGTATTTAGGTGGCGGTGTAATTGATAGTGGCGGCATGAGTGGTGCAATCAATCTGGGTATAGTGAAAGCGGCTTACATTAGTCTGAACCCATCCTAGGGCCATCGTGGTGCTAGTCTGGTGGTAAAAGACTATGTCCACAGAGTGTTAGCAAGTGGTTTTGCTCTATACTTGCGAAGCCGCGTCTCTCGGAGCCAAGAATGTTATCAAACATTTCAGGTTAGACTATTGTCATCTCCGAAGGATTGCTGACTTTCAGTGGCAACAAGTTAAGAACACTCAGGTTTTGCAACGTACTTGAGCATAGTGACAACAATCCGATGAATGTCACCATCTTGAGATACCGGCCTCATTAGCTTAAATGTGATACGAATATCATCCTAGCAGCTTTAACACTATAGATTATTTACCGTTGCTAGGACTAGTTGGAAAAAACAAAGGTGTTCGGTTTAAGACTTGCAGCCGGGGAATGAACAGAGTACATTTATATGTGTTACACATGCTTATTTTGGTAATTAGTGGTACCAGTATTTATATGCATTAACCGAATAAAACTAAGATATCTTAATCGTTGGCAGATAACAAGTACCGGGTGAAATACCTTACATGACGAAACACAGTCAAACTAAAGCCATATGACATAACACCCGTAGTTTGAAACAAATTAACTGTAGTACTTGAATAATACAGCTTCGTGTAAATATGGTATAACATTAACACAACTCCCCGTTATGCAATCCGGACTTTTTGGCTTACTAATCATAAGGAATGACTGGTGTTAAGTGCGAGTAGCTTTTCTGGTGAGACTATAATTTATGGACGGCCTTTAAGATACGCTAGAGTGGACTTGAGAATGTCCACCATTACACTATAACTAAATGAGGGTTATAAAGCAGTGTGAGGAATTAGAATTATGATCGACAGTTGATAGTTAGAAATTAGATCTAGGGTTTTCATCACGAAATGAAATAAGCTAAAATGCCCAAACGCTAATTAGTCAGACAGATGAAGACATTCGCACCGAAAACCAAGACGTGTTATCGTAAATGGATGGTTTGTTCATAAATTATAGTCTCACTTACTCACTTTTGATGATGAGAGAAATCAACAACAGTCAGGAATTACACAATCTTAAGGTTAAGATATTCGGATAACTGAGACATAGGTTGGTAGCGTAAAGTTTTGAACGCGTTACAAAGAACCAAGTCGGACCATTCACCTTGCAGCCCCACGACCTTGAGTCAGCTCGTTCAGTCCTCAGTCGCAAGGTTAGGAAGTATTTAACCCATATTGACCTAGTAATTCGTAGTGCTATGGAGTTCAAATATCTCTTTTAGTGTGTCAACAGAACGGGTTGATATTGTAGGGGAAAATAAAACCACAAAATAAATAGCTCAGTAATTTTTCGAGTTTCAGTTTGGGAAGGACAGGAGGCCTCATGGCCTGTGTTAGTCCTGGCAATGGTGGTCCCTCAGTTGATCCAATTTTCTTCTGAAAGAATCGAGGGATGGAGCCTCAACCACGTACTGAGGTAATGAGTTCCACTCGTTGATGATTCGATGGGAAAGTCGATAATCAGCTGACAAGTAATTTGTTCTTGGCTTGTGAACTTTTTTGGAGTGTCCTCGTAAATTCCCTGTTTTGGAAGACAAGAAAAATGAGGGCCTATCAGGTGCAAATTTGGCACTAAGCAATTTGAAAACTGTAATCAAGTCGCCTCTAGTTCTGCGACATGACAACGGGAAAAGGTTCAGCTTGGCCAGTCGAGCTTCATACGGAAGCTTCGTTATTCCGGGAATCAGCTTAGTTTCCGTTCTCTGAACCTCTTCCAGAAGCTCACTGTCTTTTTTTAAGCAGGGGCTGGCCGCTTGTATGCAGTACTCAAGTTTAGGACGAACGAACACTGTATACAAAGTCAAAAACGTCTTAGCGTCGACATGACTAAAAGTCCTACGTATTGACCATTAGGTTCTAAAACTTTGGCAGCTATTGCACGGCAGTGTGCAGTAGTCTTTAAGTCTTGACTAACGATAACTCCTAAGACGTTATATGTCTGGACGACAGGTAGCTCAGTGTTATTCATCGTGTATGTATCTGTGCCTTGATGACCGATATGCATCACAACACACTTGGAAGTATTTATCGGAAACTGCCATGTTTGAGACCATTCAGATAATCTCTTCAGGTCATTTTGAAGTTCTAAGCTATCACCCTCACATCGTATCGTTCTCCAAATCTTGACATCGTCAGCATATAGCAAGACCGATAATGATAAGAGACGAGGAATGTCATTTACATACAAGAGGAATAGCACTGGCCCGTAAACTGTACCCTGGGGCACTCCACTAAACACAGTTTCCCAGTTAGATAACTTTGAGTTCACTCGCACTCTTTGTTGACGCCCAACTAAGAATTCTTTTATCTACATAAATAGACTGCCTCCAATCCCGACATTTCTTAATTTATATAACAGCCGGTTGTGAGTCAAGACAAGAGTAACCTATTCTGAAACCGTGCCGCTTCTCCGAAAGGATCCGGTTTTTATCGAGATACTTAAACAGCTCCTTCTGAATAATCTTCTCTAGGATTTTAACAACCACATTAGTTAGGCTAACGGGGCGGTAATTCTCAGGTGTGTGTTTCGTACCTGTTTTGAAGACAGGACTTACTATGGCGTTTTTCTAGTCTTTGGGTAAACGACCCTGCGTAACGGATAGGTTAAAGCATACTTAAAGGGTTCGCAACGAAGTTAGATAATTCCTTCAGTAGCCTAGGATGTAATTCATCGGGCCCCGTGGATTTACCTATGTCAAGCTTATTTAGTAGACCAAAGACATCGAGTTCTTTAATGGTCACGCTATCCAGTGTGTGTGTGGGGATCTGTATGCGCTGATGGGAAGGGTGCTTCTATGGTGTATATATTGCTAAAGTAGTTTGAGAACACTTGAGCCTTACCAAAGTCGTCCTCCACTAGTGACGCGGCAGTACTGTCTCCCCATAGAGCAGGAATATTTCCTCTTCTCTTTGTCCTTTGGTTTATACAAGAATACAAGCGTTTAGGACATTCTATGGATTCCTTAACAATCTTTTCTTCGTACAACTTTCTAGACTTACGGAGGGTCGAGGCACAAGTATTCCGAGCCTTTCGATACTGAGATTTTGACTCATCAGTCCCCAGTAATCTAAATCTATCCCGCATTTTCCTTTTCCTACGGAGAAGGATGCGGACCTCCCTACTGAACCATGGTGGGAGTTTCTCGGCCCCCTTGGTATAGTCCAAGGGATGTGGGGTGTGGTAACTTTTAAGTATGAATTTCGAAATGCGTCCCAGGCCGTTTCAACTGAGGACTCTGGGTCTATTGTCCAATCTACTAACGATGCTGAGTGCATGATATCTGGTATATTTGCTTTCCAGACGTTAGGTCTGGATTGGGCTGACGTGTGCTCGTCACTGACGGTTATATGGAAGTCGAAAATTAAAACTGCGTGATCACTTTTACCTAGCGGTGGCATATAATTAATGTTCGCAACGTCATTCACATAGTGAGTGAGTATCAGATCTATTAAGGATGATTCAGTGTCTGGGTCGTACCTATTCGCTTCTTTCACATATTGCACTAGAGCACATGTGATAACCACATCAATTAGTTCCTGCTCGAAAGAATTTTCTGACGATTCAGTTCGCAGATTTTCCCAGTCTACCATAGGTGCATTAAAGTCCCCTAGGATTAGACATCGACCACTTTGTGACCAAGTATTGAGACTGCTTAGCAGGACTTAACTTACCTCACAGCTTGGACTGCGATAGACCAAACCAATCAGCAGCTCTTGTCCCTTGCATTTGAAGAGGCAACTAACTAATTCACACGTCCCACTCTCATGGGATACACTGTCGATAATGGCAAATGGGATAGCATTCCTAATGAATAGAGCTACTCCCCCTCCTTTACGCTTTTGTATTCTGTCGGCCCTTACTAACGTAAAACCCTCGAAATCAAGTTCCATACTATCTATAGCCTGTGTCAGCCAGGTTTCTGTAACTGCGATTATCTGGCTTTGTAGAGTCAATCTATGCACCTAGTTCCGATCGCTTATTAAGTAAGCTCCGGCATTAGTGTAGCAGATCCGAAGCCTATTTAAGTGGCTTCGTGCTTCACCCAGAGTGGCTTCGGCATCATTCTCTGTCGAAGCTCACAACCCGAAAATTTACAATTTTTAGGTCCTTTTCGCCAGCGTCTAACCTAAGTTGTAGTTCTTTTTCGGCTTCCCGTCTTTTTACACGGTCTGCCAACGGTAAGTCCTTTCGTAAAGACTCCTGAACCCTTTAATTTGTGTCCATTCTGTAAAATTAGGTCACGTTCGTTCGAAGAGTTGAATACTACTTTAAGCAGTCTGGAATGATTTGGTTTCAAGTCCGCTAGACTCCCTAGTCTGTACACCTTTAGCAAGGTGACCCGGTGATATTTTGAGGCATGAGTTGATTAAGCAGCTGCTTAATCAGCACAATGTCATGCTCAAAACGAGCTTTAGGTTCAGAGCTCTCGCTCTCCTTGATTCTATGAAAAATAGCTGATCTGTCGCTATGATCAGCTTTCGATTTTTCGACTACTTTTACGGGGGTAGGATTACCTTTTATATCGCTACTTTTTTCTTCCTTACAACCTGTACCCACTCGTCAACGGTGCTGGGAGAAGCAAAAACAGTTGTGCCAAACCTAGTGTTGGATTCTGGAGGGTTGTCGACGACCTGAGAGGTCAGGTTATGTTTACCCCTTGAAACCGACCGAGCCTTGCGATTGCGGCTTCTAGGCATTCCTGTGGGATCCCATCTGGGAGACGGGGAACAGAAGAACCTACTTTCCTTGAGCTTTTGTTTAAGGCAGGCCCCTTTGGAGACTGCTTTTCCTTCTTTGACCGGCGTGAGTCATCTACTATCGAACTAACCTTAGTTTGCTTCATTTCGATTTGTGTGTCGACAGATCGAGTGCTGTTTGACGTATTCCGACTACGCTTGCTAAAACACTTCTTTGCAGCATCAACCAGTGAGATGGCCTCGGTTAACAGGCTGTTTGCATCCGAACAGCACTGTTGACAAAGCCATACACAACCCTTCTTACTGAACCGTTTGAAAGCCGCAGGCGTTAAGTTCGTTCAAACTTCGTGGTACCAGCTTTTGCACTCGTCGCACTGCAAGCCGCTTTCAACGGGATAACGATGACCCGGACGTTGGCAACTGCTTTTTTTACACTGTCCGGTCATTTAAAAGTAGTCTTTTCAAAAAGGAACGAGATGCGATGATACTCAGAAACAAAAAATAATCAATGACCAAAAAGTGAAGAACTGTAGATTGTTAGGACCAAAAGTACTAACAGATACAACTGAAAATGAGGTACTCAAGAGTATCAACGACAAAACTAATTGAGAGAACGGTAAAAACGGTACTCTGGTCGAATACTTTAACTGAAATGAATTCAATTTAAGTGAAAACAGTAGTCTTGATACGTAATAAACGATCAAAACAATGAAATTTACTCAGAGACGAAAAATACCACTATCCTTTTTAAACAGCGCGTGACTAGTGATTGGATTGTGACCACGACAATTTTAATGAACTCACCTAGCTGAAGACGCTCGGTCATGCATCCGCACCAGATCACGAGTGGGAACGCCGTGCCCAACAACTCCTTCAATCTGGTTAGCAGATTAGATCCGTGGATTCTCGATATATTGATAGCATGTCAAATATATCTTCTGACCTCCCCGCTTCTGTCTTTTGATTGTACTTGGTAGGTACGATTCACACTAGGTGTTACTGGTTAAATCATTGCCAAACTCCGAATACCTGTGACGTCTTCATTGGTGAGCCCGACGTGATCTGGTACACCAAGTCATAAACTGTGAGGCTGTTCTATTTTGGAATCCTGTATATGATTGCTATAATTCAACAATCATATATTGTGATATATTTTCGTGTTTTTGGTAATATATATGTATAAATTACACGTTCATTCCCGAACGTGATATCTCACGATGACGGAACAGACACCCAAAGTACTAAAGCTTAAGACTATGTCCCAGCCTTCGTTCCAACTAATGCTTTTCTGGCCAGACAACATCGAGGCCTGGTTCTGCTACGCAGAAGCCGACTTCTACAAGCACGGCGTGAACGACACACGTGCAC